TAGCTTTGGTATAGTGTAGGTTGGGTTGACTGTAGTTGAACTACTATACCGTACGTATGTTTTTGAGTGTGTGAGAAGTCAGGCGGAATAAATTAGTTGGAGCAGGACGGGGTGGGATAGCTGAGTGGAGAATCAGCCCTGGATTCATGCAACAATGGCCATGTTTACATGTACACCAACATTCTGATTATTGTCAGGAATCAGAGTAATAGGAATTACATGGATTAAGGTGTTTACATGACATGAGCAACCCTCTTAAAACTAAACTATTACTATTATTCAAAGAGAAATGTTGTTTTGTCACTTTGATCTTTGATCTGAGTGCGCGAAATATGGTTATGCGCATAATCATCAACATCAACAATAATTGTATTCTGTTTTTATTAGTTTCATGAAACCACTTCCACTTATGTTGTTTTAACTCTAACCATGCTAGTTTAAAAATGATTTTTTTTTTTATATCCACTTCTTACATGGCTCTCTAACCTGATTTGGATTCATCAATCACTGCATTTAATTTTCTTTCACATAAAAAAATAATTTCGTGATTTCGTGTTATTTATTCATTCATTCATTCATTCATTAAGTAGCTGCTGGAATAAGTGGAATAATGTGCTTGCAGTCATAAAATCATTATTGCAAAATAAACCCGAACAGGGTGATCAGGAGTCCCGATGTGATTTATTAGTTAACCTCTATTCTGAAAGAAAAGGTTGACGTAAGATCAGTGTGAAAGGGCATGGTTTTATTGCAGTTTTATTTGCAAATGATGTGTAGTCTGTCTGCTGTTTCTGGGCGGTTTGCCCCAGCATATAGCATATTGTCCACAGGAGTTCCCATGGCATTTTGTGAGTGTGTATGGTCTTCCCTCTGTGCTGGCATTGCTCCCTGTCACGGGACATACACAATAACAGCTTTTGTCTCTTCAGTGTGAATGTGTATGTGTGTGTATTTTGATAGGACTAAAGAGCCAGAACTCGGTAGTGCAAAGGATGTCTGTTTTTGTAGATAATTACAGTGTATGTCCAGCTCAGGAAGGCCCAGTGAGTTTTAAAACTGAAATTTCTGAGAATATACTGCATCACTTGCCTTCACTGGCTTCAATAATTTAATATTTAGCATGACGCTATCACAGGTGTGCTTTTGTGTGTGTGTCGTTATTGTGTTGCATATCTTGTTCAGTGCATAAATGTTCAGTATGCTTGTAAGTCACTCAATTTTGATTTGATTGCCAAATACGGATTTACATGATTTGTTTGCATTTCAGTTGATTTCATTGTGGCTGTAGAGAAAAGGGAGTTAGCACCTGCAGGCAGTGCATTAGACAGCTGTTAGATAACTACAAAACATGTAGCGTAAAAGCTAAACTGAGAAGTTTTTTTACAACATGTACATGTTCATTCTCTCACATGCGTTTAATATAATAGTTATGGCTTGGTAGATTATAATTTTTTTTCATTTCATCACAATTACAATGCTATTCGCAAATTACTGTCATTAATCATTCTTTTTAGTGAATCAAAAACATACAGACCAGCGTAGCCTGATTCCTGAAACAATAAACCACCTTTTAATAAATTAGTTTTAGAATTTAGAATTATAAGCCTGTACTGATAACTCCCCCCTAATTGTATATGCAAAAACATGTTCAGTCCCTTTCATGTAACTCATTTCACATGCTCATTCAGTATTTAAACCTGTACAGTGAAATGGACCCTGAGGCCACGTTAACGTTAAGGGTGTAAATATGTGCTTGGCTGTTGTTAAATTCTGTTACATTCCGATAGGATTCAATTTAATTAATTTGGTCGTTTAATTCTTTTTAACAATATCGATATCAATTGATATATATCAACATAGTCACAGCCCTAAAATCTATAGATCCTTTCAAAGAAACAATTTAGCTTAACAAATGCACTGTTAAAGGGATACTCCACTTTTTTTGGAAATAGGCTCATTTTACAACTCCCTCAGAGTTAAACAGTTGAGTTTTAACGTTTTCGAATCCATTCAGCCGATTTTCTGATATTTAGAAGAATATCTGTAACCAGACAGTTTCTGGTCTCATTGACTACTATAGTACCTGTATATATTTTTTTCCTACTATGGAAGTCAATCAGACCAGAAACGGTCTGTTTACTGATATTCTTCAGAAAATATCAGAAAATTGGCTGAATGGATTCGAAAACGGTAAAACTCATAAAGCCCATTCCAAAAAAAAGTGGAGTATCCCTTTAAAGTCTGTGAATGACTCCTGTTTACCTTCTGCTCAGTAAGACCAGATTTACAGTACATTCTGTAACAGTGATTGGTGACTGGTGACAACAGTCACACATTCCATATTTTGATATATTCCATATCTATCAAAATAGATAATGCTTATTATCTGCTAACATTTTGATGTTTTGTTGCTGAGGAATGAAAAAAAAAAAAAACGGCCATTACCACTGTTTTCAGCCCTATTAGAGGCTTTAGGACTTGGTTAATTAGCAGTTTATTGCCGTTTCATTCGGTTTTTTTTTTTGTTCTAGTGAATTTATAGCTAACATGCATTTCCATATGGTTTGCTGCCAAATGTATGCAGTGTGTCGTGAGAGACGAGATGTGAGTTTGTGTAATTTGCACATGCATTCAAAATATCTCTGAGCAACCATGTTGTAAATATTTTTCTGCAATGAAGCCCTTTTCTCATCTAGTCTCAATTTCATATCACCCCAGTGCACCAGTGGAAACTGTAACAGTAAGCTAAGTTTGGAGAGAGATAATGCCTTTTTGATGGACAATGGAAAACAAACACTATTGTCTCCCTTCTTTCTGCCTACAGGCCTTCTTGCACTGACACTTTTCTCCCCTTCCCCCTCTCTCTCCTCTTTCTGGAGAGGCACAGATAGCCTTATTAGGTGATAGTGAAGGGCTAGTTGTAAAAATATTCCATCGTGCACTTTCCTACTCTAAATTTGGCTTTCAGTATGATGGAAATTTAAGCATTATGCACTGTTATGAGATGTTGTGCAGCTATAACACAACCCATATGTTAAGTTTTGAGAAACACAGAGAAGATTAGTTAAACGTGTTCATTGAATGTTGCATCATGCTCAAAAATCGCAAACGGAATGATGTTTGATCATAGCAGACTTTACAAGCTCTGTCCTCCTTTCTCTTTATTGGCTGTGGTGACCATGTCTCATGGAGCTCTAATCGATTGTTGTTATTGGCCTATTTATATCATTGGGTGAGTTGGAGAGACTTGCTCCTTCTCTGGAATGTGAGTATTTGAGCCAGAGTTTCTTCTTATGCAAGAACAGCTTTCTCTCTTGTGCATGCAGTCCGCCTAAGGGGGAGCCAAGCACCCCTAATCCCAAAGCAGTAGGGGAAGATAAAAGTGAAAAACACAGGCAGAGAGGGTGTGGTGAACACCTGAATGTAACTATGGAGATGAGGAAATAAAACTGAGAATGTGTTGACTTGACTCTGTGTTGAAACCACAGAAATGTCTGGCTTCACCCAAAAGTCAGTTTTTGTGAAGCTTGTTTGGTAGTGTATAAATGTGAAACATTTTGCAGAAGTGACTTGAAAAGTTTCCCCTACTGAAGCTGTGTCTGTTTAATGGGCTGAGGATAGTTTACTAGTTAGATCCTATCATTCCTCAGAAATAAACTTAGGATAGCCCAAGGGACAGCGGAAGGGGGTTTAATGAAGGAACATTACATAAGACAAAGACTGTTAAGGAATGTTTGTGTCTGTCGAGCATGTCTGACGGAAATGTAAAAGCACACACTTTCGTCCCATGTCCTTCACTGTCCCACCCATCCTAACTATAATGCAAGACAGGTCAGGAGTATACAAGAACCCCATGGCTGGATTAAACACATTCCCTTAGAACCAGACATGTCTGAACTGCTCGGCAAATGCTTCGAAAATGAAATGAAGTTACGAGCCTGAAATAATTTAGACAAAGAAGAACATCCAATTAGATTTCCCTGCAAATAAACAACGTAGTTGGCATAGCAACACTCACAACATTTGTCTCTAGCTTTATGAAACAGCACTCTGCTTGTGACGGCGACTGTAGAAACTGTGCTCTCACTGTTTAAAGTAGAGTGTAAAAGCGTTCACACTTTAATCAAAGGCAATTTACCTTGCACTCTCTTCGCACAGAGATGGAATGTTGACTTTCTGAAAATGTGTTTCGCTAGCCTCCCTCATTCTTTACATCATGCACTTCTGCAGTAACCACACGGTTGGGAAGAGAGAGGGGAAAATGGAAGGCCTCTCTCGGCTCTCTCTGACTTTGGAATCACTGAGTCATTCGGTTGATTGCAGGTCTTACAGTAAACAGCAGCTAGGCAGTGTAGCATAGCACATTTCAGCACGGGGCTTCTGACAACAGGATGCACATTACACTGCACTGTAGCTGATCTCTGGACACACCTTCTATTCAAGGCTATTGTGCTTTAAATAATAGCTTTTGGCTAAGCTTCAAAACAAGGCTCCCCTATTGACTATCTCTCGAGCTTTCTAGCTCTCTCTTAGTTTGGAGCCCCAGTTACTCCCTCCCCATCCCAGTTAAACCAGATCCCAGAAGCACTTAACAGTTTCGGTAGTGTTGTCTAAGCTTTCGACCCCACAGCATTAGCCAATCTATTCCACCCCACCTCATACTGACCTTAAGTGACATCACACCCTCTCACACATTGCTTACATTTTTACACTCTGAACTATGACCCTTTTCTCCTGCTTTAGAAATGGAACCACCCTGAGGGAAGTACGTGTTAATAATCTAAGATCTGTTAATCGACTATGAGGTAATTTAGTCAAATGACATTTAGATTCATTCGATTCAACTCAGCGGATTGTTAACAGAGTTGGAGACAGTTGAACTTGGTTCAGTGAACGCCGACATGCAACAATGAACCCTCGCACAATGCAATCATTCAGTGTCCTCACCTGAGCATACCACCAACTGTCCCCCAACACACACACACACACTGTACATTTACCTGAAAGATGAGCACTTTGAAGTTGTTCCTCTTGATAAGGGTAGCGTGGTTGGCCTCCAATTTCTTCACTTGGACGGCCTGCTTATCCATCTTGTCCTTGACCTCTTTCATGTGGACGCTGACCTTGCGGCTCTTCTCCAGGAGTTTGCTGACCGTGTTTGAGGTGGAAGTGTGACTCTTGGAGAGCTTGGTCATATCATTCTGGATAACCCTCACTGCCCCTTCCATCTCGACCTGTCTCATCTCCATCTTGTGCTGGTTCTCTTGCACTGTGTCCAGCATGTTCACCAGCTTATCTAGAAGTGTCAGGACAGTAATGGCATTCACTTGGCCTGTGGGTGAAGCTCCATCTCTGGGTAGAATGCCTGTGGTGCCCCCAGCCAGAGCTCCAGGGCTACTTGGTTCGCCAGTGCCCAGCTGGGAGAGGCTATGGGTGGGTGAAGACTGAGTAGGGCTGGGGCTTGGCACCACCAGCTCCTGGTTCTCGTGTGTGCTGATCATGCTGCTCCGCTCTGCCTGCACTGCGTCTTCTCCCATTCTGAGGCTGTTCTTGGTCTCGACAGATAACTTCACTCAGGAAAATTGTCTCGTTTTTTACCTTGAGTTCTTTCCGGGTTCCCCAGTTGATTTTAGTGCCACCACGTTCTTAAAGCTTAAATTCAAGGATTGGGAATAACTTTTCAGTTTCCAGGTTCAGTGTTCCCACCCCTTTTTGAAGATAACCACACTCTTACTCTATTCTCTCTCTCTCTCTCTCCCTCCCTCTCCGGTGCGATTGAAAGAGCTGCGTAGAGGCTTCCCCACAGCTTAAAAAGGCCATCCACACCCAATGGGGGTGTAGCTAGGTTTCCATGGCATTTAGCCCGGCCCATTGGTGAGGGAGTTATGTGTTTGCATGTGTCAAGTGCGAGTATGTGGGTGTGTACAGTGGAACATGAGAAACTCTCTCCACATGGAGTACCTCCCCCCCTAACTCTCTCTCTCTCTCTGGCTCTCTAGTTCTGTTTATATTGAAGAGATGAATAGTATATTAAGAGTCATGTTTGCAGAATGAGCTCATCTGTGTCAAAGAAATAAAGAGGGGGGAGTAAAAGATAGAGAAAGGAAGAACAAAGGTGTGTGTTTTTCCCCTTGAGTAAAGATTTGCTAAGTAACATTTTGGAGTTTTCTATGTGTGCATAGATGTGCACAATAATGTATGTACTGTATATGTTTGCCTGTATTTATTTTGTAAGAGCCTTTTCTTACAGTTGAAGTCATTCTAAGTTTATTCTGGAAAAAAATGTCACATAAACAGTTTGAGTGGAGTCATTTTCCCTGTCTGCAGCTGTAGCAACACACTCTCAGAAAAAAGGTACAAAAGCTGTCACTGGGGCTGTACCTTTTCAAAAGGTAAAATTTTGTCCATTTTAGGTGCTAATATGTACATTTTAGGTGCTAATATATTCATTTCAGGTGCTAATATGTACATTTTAGGTGCTAATATGTGCATTTTAAGTGTTAATATGTACATTTTAGGTGCTAATAAGTACATTTTAGGTGTTAATATGTACATTTTAGGTGCTTATATGTGCATTTCAGGAGCTAATATGTACATTTCTGGAGCTAATGTCCATTTTAGGTCCTAATATGTACATTTCGGGACCTAATTTGTACATATCGGGACCTAATATGTACATTTTAGGTGCTAATATGTACAATTTAGGTGTTAATATGCACAGTTTAGGTGCTAATGTGTACATTTTAGGTGCTAATATGTACCACTAAGGTACCAATATGCACCCTTTGGGTACAAAAGTGTACCTTTTGAAAAGATACAGCCCCAGTGACAGCTTTTGTGCCTTTTTTCTGAGAGTGCAGCATGGCGAAACTTCACATATTCAGAACTGCAAAACACTATATCAGTGTATATCAGTGAATGTTAAAAACACGATCAGCATGAAACCAAATCTTAAAAATTGTGGTAGACCTTCAGTGAAACATTCTTGGGTGTTTGCCTCTTATACACACAAAGACAACGTCTTGATTGCTTCCGTTTCCTCCTTTCTGCATTGTTATACATGCCTCCATTATGTCATCTTCCCTCCTTTTTCCTTTACAGGGTAATGTTTGTGGAAACACAGACTTCTGAGAGAGGAAAAGAGTCCATTCATGTTCCCCTTGACCTCTGACCTGTTCTCTGGGGATGCTTTACATGCTTAGATGGATTACATAACACATTATCATAGCATTACATACAAGCACATGGATTTTGGCAAAGGTCCATATTGGGTTTTCTAAATGCAAAGCCGTTTACAGGCAAGTGTGTGCTTGTTTAGTGTTGGGCTTGTGCAGTAGTAAATAACACGGTAATTTACAACCTTTCATTAATTAGCAAATAGCAGTTTAACATGCATTGGAGTGACAACAAATGAGGAATTAAGAGACAAGTTGAGATGAAGGATGACTGAAATGCACCTGGAAAGTTCTTCTGCCTGTTATTACGTTTAAAAGGGTGGGGATTCTCAAACCTTATCGACTTTTATCTCCATTGTTTTCATTCTCGGGAACTCGTATCCTGATCTCTTGTTTTTCATGGGAATTTTTCAAAAGGCTTGAAGGTACATGGCTCGAATTGCATATCCATTAGAAATGACTCGTCGCCCCCTGGAGAAAACTTTATGTAATTGCAACATCAGAGCACAAGCGCTGCAAAAAAAAACCAAGTCCAATGGAATGTTTGGAATATCACAGCTGCTTCTTTGGAAAGTCTTACAGTGAAGTGACACAAGTATACGTCAGTTAATACACCACTTGACCTCTTTTACACAATAGGAGTCAAAGAGTAAATTAACCCGCACAAAATGCATCCCTCAAAACAAAATGCTTGAGATATAATTGAATAATGTAACATTGTGAAAAACCTGGGAGGTGAGGAAGTAAAACATAGAAGTTACCCAGCTTGTGCGTGAAGAGTAGAGGCTGGTGTTATATATCACCAGTAGGAGTCAGTAGTGGAATTAACCAAATAACCCAGACAAGCAACTTCAAATTTAAGAAATAAACAAAGGTTATTGTTCCAATTTCATTAAGTTTATTTCAAGTTGAATATTTATTGAAAGCATCAAATTTTGGCTGAAAATGATGCAAGAAATCTGTCCTGGAATTTTGTTGTGGCCACAACTGAAACATGGTAATATGTTGTGGCCATGAGATGGAGATCATTAATTTAATACCATTTTATTTTATATAAAAAACCTGACAGACAGTGCTGTGGCATTAATACATAGCTACGTAATTAGTTGAGTTTACACATTGCTCTAACAAAATGATAAGCCTCTAATTCTTCACACTTTTTCTAATTCTAACATCTTTGCTGAGACACCTGAGTCTCTTGTGAATTACTCCGTTTTTGTATTTTTAGTCTCCACATATTTGCGGCTAAACCCACACTCCATTATCTTTATTGGTTTAAGTGCTTTTTTGTAGAAAAAAAGCCTAATTTCATTTTAATTTAATTTGACCTGATTTCCATTTAATGATTCTACTCATTGGTTTTTACAGCATGCAATTTGTTTTTTTCCTTTCTAATAGTTTCTTTTAGTGTCATTATCTTAATAGACTACTCAACCTACACCATGATTCATATTTATTTGCATTTTAGGTACATTGCATGCCCATTATGCCTTTGTGTGTAACAGTTTACTTGTCAGTCTCTTAAAAGCCTGCTTTTGGCAGCTTTCTACTTTTAAATAGTTGTATTTTGGGCAATTGTAAAACTGCAAAGTGATGCATGCACATATTTATGTAGTCTAGAACTGCAATAACCATCATGTTTGCACAGTACACGCAACGCCTCTTCACTTGCTCACAGTTTCTCTCAAAAAGGAGAGGTGTCATTCAATAAATGGCAAAACAAAGTATGCGTTGCTCTTTCGAAAAAGTAACTGATATTCTGTTGTGAATTTAAAAGTATGCATTTTGTAGAAAAGTTAAAGGCTCAGGAAAGGATTCAATGAAACTTTAATCATAAAATAAACAAACACAAAACTGAAGTAAAGCGGCAGCCCCTCATGGACGACTTCTGCATGGATACATAAAACACAGCGTAAAATCCAGGCGTAGTCCTCTCATTAGCAATCCAGGCGCTCACATTAGCAATCGCTCCACGACCTCGCTCAGTTCCCGCATTGTTTGCCACATGTTACTTTAGTTACTTGGAAAAAAGTAATCTGATTATGTACCATGTTACAGTTACACTGCTTTCTTCTGAATTAATTTACTGTAGAAAGTATAAGATCTTTTCTATAGGTTTTTTACAGGTTATATTCTTTTTGGAATTATATTTGTGTGATTATATAACTGTGTTTAGCCCATTAACAATGGGACAGAATATTAAAATTCCATTCTCATATTTTATAATCCTTTAAATGATTAATATTATATACAACAAAGTGCCCCCTCAAACCTTTTGTCTCCTGTCTCAATTGTTTTATTACGCTTTATCCCTCTCATTTGGCCGAGCTCTTTGTCTAAAGTCAATGTCTTATTGATTTATCATAAAATAAAAAATGCTCTGTTTGCCTTGGATGTATTCAATATTGATGCCTTTCTTTTATCCATTTTGCTTTTTCTCTCATTTTTGATGTGATCCTAATCTCTTCTTTACACTTTTCCTTTCTTGAAGACCAAACCCTTCCCCTCGCCTCATCATCTAGTAACCGCAGAAGCAGTGGATGTTCCCGCTGAGCGTCTGTACTTGTTATTGAGATTCCCTGCTGACAGCCCAGCTCTGGGAAACCTATGGAGATGGAGCGGTTCTGGTGTACCTGGCACTGCCATGTGGGAGGAAGGTGGGAATCAGTACTTACAGCATGTCATGAAAATAATTTATTACCTTAGCTCAAACACACATCATTCCACAGCCACACACAGCCCTGGTGTAGATTATTCATAACTGTGAGAGAAAATCGCCTTTGGTTGCCAGGCTTATTTATAAGTCTTCACATTCCTTCACTGATATAAATGTGCACACTATATGAACCTCTTGGCAGTCTTTCTTTTGAGCTTTGAGAATATGGGTTAGATTATAGAAGCCTGATAATGCCACACTTAAAATGGTCGGGATGTCATTGTCTGAATGTCAAATATCGAACAAAGTGGACTTTATTTTAAAGATTACACATCATTTCACATTTCAGGTTTCTTAGGTATTTAATGATAAAGCTGAATCGAAATGTGTTAAAAATGAATGTCACAAGGAATTGTATTTAAAAAAAAGTTTTAAGCCAATTTAAAATGATGGCAGTTTAGTCTATGGTCAAATTCTCGGTATTATTAGCTTGCATATTACTAGAATATTTGCTGTGTATTAGTATTTATAAAGCACATATTAATGCCTTATTCTGCATGACCATTCTACATCCCTTAATCCTAATACCTAAACTTAACTATTACGTTACTAACTATTAAAAAGTAGTCATTTGGAGTTGCTAACTAAATTGTGACAAAAATTATATATTAAAAGTACTGAATATCTAAACTGGCCATTCAGAATAGGTGATACAATGTCTTTGCTTCCATCCAAAATGTAGCTGAAGTGAAAAAGGTGGTTACATTTAGCTGGCTTGTAGCAGTGCATGCCGTTTAGAAAAAAAACAATAAAAAAAATGAGATGTCGCCAATGCCACAAGTGGCGATCAATTTCCATGACAATACTTTGATTGACACGATTAGGCTTATAAATGTGGTAACATAATCATAGTAAAATGGCTTATGTTGATTTAGCAATAAACAGGCATGTAAACACTTGACT